ATTTATGTGCAAAAGCGAATGTGCAAAAAGAGGATTTAACGAATGTGCAAAAATTTAACGAAGTGCAAAAAGAGGATTTTAACAAAAAGATTTAACGAATGTGCAAAAAGGGATTTAACGAATGTGCAAAAAAGAGGATTTAACGAATGTGCAAAAAGAGGATTTAACGAATGTGCAAAAAGGGGATTTAACGAATGTGCAAAAAGGGGATTTAACGAATGTGCAAAAAGGGGATTTAACGAATGTGCAAAAAGAGGATTTAACGAAAAGAGGATTTAACGCAAAAAGAGGATTTAACGAATGTGCAAAAAGAGGATTTAACGAATGTGCAAAAAGAGGATTTAACGAATGTGCAAAAAGGGGATTTAACGAAGGTGCAAAAAGAGGATTTAAAGAATGTGCAAAAAGAGGATTTAACGAATGTGCAAAAAGGGGATTTAACGAATGTGCAAAAAGAGGATTTAACGAATGTGCAAAAGAGGGAATGTGCAAAAAGGGGATTTAACGAATGTGCAAAAAGGATTAAACGAAAAAGAGGATTTAACGAATGTGCAAAAGAGGATTTAACGAATGTGCAAAAAGAGGATTTAACGAATGTGCAAAAAGAGGATTTAACGAATGTGCAAAAAGAGGATTTAACGAAAAAAGAGGATTTAACGAATGTGCAAAAAGGGATTTAACGAATGTGCAAAAAGAGGATTTAACGAATGTGCAAAAGAGGATTTAACGAATGTGCAAAAAGAGGATTTAACGAATGTTTTAACGAATGTGCAAAAAGAGGATTTAACGAAGGTGCAAAAAGAGGATTTAACGAATGCGCAAAAAGAGGATTTAACGAATGTGCAAAAAGAGGATTTAACGAATGTGCAAATAGAGGATTTAACGAATGTGCAAAAAGAGGATTTAACGAATGTGCAAAAAGAGAATGTGCAAAAAATTTAACGAAAAAAGAGGATTTAACGAATGTGCAAAAAGAGGATTTAACGAATGTGCAAAAAGAGGATTTAACGAATGTGCAAAAAGAGGATTTAACGAAGGCGCAAAAAGAGGATTTAACGACAAAAGAGGATTTAACGAAAAAAGAGGATTTTAACGAATGTGCAAAAAGATTTAATGTGCAAACGAATGTGCAAAAAGAGGATTTAACGAATGTGCAAAAAGAGGATTTAACGAATGTGCAAAAAGAGAATTTAACGAATGTGCAAAAAGAGGATTTAACGAATGTGCAAAAAGGGGATTTAACAAAATTTAACGAATGTGCAAAAAGAGGATTTAACGAATGTGCAAAGAGGATTTCACGAATGTGCAAAAAGAGGATTTACATACTATTTAACGAATGTGCAAAAAGAGGATTTAACTTTCCAAAAAATGACAACTACAACGTACAAATGAGGATACAAAATGAGATCTATTATAGTGCAGAAAAAAGAGAATTTAACTAGTATCTAAAACAGGATTAACTAGTGTACAAAAAAGAGGATTTATCTGTCTTGTATAAAATGAGGATTTAACTTGTGTACAAAAAGGAGTCTGAATTACAATGTACAAATGGCTTTAAGTGATGAAAAAAGGAGAATTAACTGGATTTAAAGAGGGATTTGACTGCAGTCTAAAGAGCTCCTGAAATACCAGTGCTCATTAAACGACTGTTAAAGACTGTTAATATGTAAGAGAATCAACAGTCAAGCAAGTGGTGAGAAGCAATCGTCACTGACTTAGGCTCCCTCCTGACCAATCAATAGAAAAAAAATAAGTGAAAATAAGTTACTAAGGGCGAATAGATAAAACAAATAACAGAGTGAATTCTGTTCGAAAAAAAATGGTCCAGTCTGGGAATTGTCGGAATCTAGAGAAACAATAGCGTCTCATGTCTTTTTTTTTTTTTTTTTTTTTTTTTTGGAGGGGGGGGGGTTAATCGGTATTTAATGTATGTAATACTATCATCGTGGTTCGACCTTTTCAAATCTCAAGAAGCTTTTTCAAGGCTGGAAGGTCTCAAGAATACATGTAGCCCGAAATACCCCAAAGCGCATTTGGTCTATTTTGGGGGTATACACGCTCCTTGTGTTGTTTTGCAATGTGCCAGACTCTACTTCACGGGTAGTGTAGAAATCTACATTTTATGTTAATTAATCAGCACAAAAACTTTAATCTACAGGAGAAATTTCCGCTCTGGCCCATATCCACACAAACTGAACAAAAATTTGAAATCCAACTGCAAAAATCTTACTTTGATCTCGATTGTTTGGCCATAATTCCCTCCGTCTTATGCCAAACATATATGTTCTGCACCGATTAACTGAATTTTACATTACGTTCTGTTATAGTCTAATCTGATTTTACTAATAAAAAATAATTCCTTTGATAACGAGACGCTTAAGAAATGTTTTAATTTAAAAGCAAGCATTCTGTATTCTGTGTTGACACGTAAACTTACTGTAAGAGGTTTATCTTGCTAAAAGTGTGCCATTTACGGTCTTTTTATATCACGCGGGCAGACGGCATTTATTATACAGTCAATAAGTGGTTTAATCGTGTTCCTTGGTGACACTTCTCAGAAGAAGTTAGAACAGACTAAATTCTTATTTCATTTGACTCGCAAATCTTAAAGGGTTCGTTTTATTACACATTTTTATTTATCTCTTTCTCCTTTATGTCAAATTTTGCTCTCAAGTAACAGAATACAGTCTTAACAATATACAAAATGTAACCTTTCATATGATATGAGGTCTCTTACCATATTGACGTAACATAAGGAATTCTTTTTACATGATTTTGATTTTTAAATGTTTGTTACTAATATCACCATTCGGATATTAGTAACAAAGGATTTAAACGGATTAAAAATAAAAATAATAAAGGATTTAAAAAGTCGAGCCCAAATCGTGTTGGGTAATCTTTCCAATTTATAACACTGCGGGTGGGAAATGTGTGTAGACTTGAAAGCGAACGCAGGTGATAGGCCAAATAGCCATCGACGTAAGCATAACACAAAGCTGAACTTTCGTAATACCTGTTTTTCATTTAACGGAACCGACTTACGAGTCATTGTGTAATATTTCCACGAGGACAGATGCGCCAGGTGTGTCAGAAAGCCGAAACATCTGTAAGTTTATATATACAAGTATACGACTACCGGTTCCCTTATCCATCC